TGACTTGAGTTATTGGCGGATTCACTGTTTAAAAACTTTCTCATTTTTTAAAGAAAACCATATGTTATTTAATAGATTCCCGAGTAGATTCGATAATGTGATTTTACAAAAAAACCTGGGCATGAAATTTTTCAGAACTATCGATCCCGAAAAAATCTAGTAGATAATGTGAATTCCCTCGTAGATAATTTCCCTATCAGGGTTTTTAATAATTATATTTTGTTTTCAATAACCGATGTCCACTCCACACACCATAGATGATTATTGGTTCCGTGAATTTTGTACTCAGAGTAGATGCAAAAGCTGATAATGACGGACTTCTGTATTTGTCCTATCAAGATTTCTGCCTTATTGCGACAGGTTTTTTTGACAAAAAGATTGTGCTTGTTAAAAGTTTTTTGATAAAGGAGTACAGGTTTGGATTTCTCGGTATATGGCAACTGACATTATTGTCCTCCCTTTGTGAAAAAAAACTTTCCTTTTGTAGTAAAAATTAAACACTTCTCTCGGATGTTCAAAGTTTCTGGTACAATAATACCAGTTTGTAACTAATTGAGCGTTGCAATCTACGCTAAAAACATCTAATATCGCTGTTTCACAATAATGGAAAGCAGACCATTTAAAACACAATCCAACGTAGGAAGCAGAAGGTGGGCAGTTAGGAAAGAGGAAAAATATTGCATTGAGTGAATCATGTGTTATTCGAATGCGGGATGATACCAATTATGAGAGAAGCACGGCGATTAATGCAAGGTTTGTTTTGAAACGAACAACCTATTTTGCCTACTTTAAATATAACGCGTTTCCTTATAGTCTAATCAACAAGTTCAAAAACATGAAAATAGAGATAAAGGTCCTAAAAATATGAGCGATAGCTCATTCGATTCAAAATCACCTCCAGAAAAATGTTTTTGAAGAATTTTGGTGCAGGTCAAAAGTTGCAATTGTTATCAACAAAATAAGATGAAAAAAATGGTATTTGGTTTTCGTTAATAACTGAAAAAATACTAATATTTAAGCAATTTTTAAAAGAAGTTCGTTAAAGAGGAGTATATTTCCGATAAAAAAGTTCCGACTCCCGACAGTCTATCTCCATTATTTATAATTTTAATTTGACGTTGAAAATAGGGTTCCGCGCGACTGTTAAGGCATGCGCGCGCTGCTGCTAAAGAGAGTTTATCAAAAGAAATACTTTTTTTATAACATAAAATGTCATTTTAAAAATTTGAAAAAAATTTGGTATCTTCTTAACACTTGAATGAATCGAGTCCCGTAGAAAAAATTTATTTTGTTAATAACATTTGCAATTTTTAACCTGCACCAAAATCCTTCAAAAACATTTTTCTAGAGGTGATTCCGAATCGAATGAGCTATCGCTCATATTTTTAGGACCTTTATCTCTATTTTTCATGTTTTTGAACTTGTTGATTAGACTATTAGACATTGTGTCGCAAGGTTTGATAAGTGTTCAGACTCTTTATACTGCTATTATTTCGAGAATGAAGCGAGTCGGAATCCATGAGTTATAGAGAGAGAAAAGGATGTTCAGAAAAGTTCATATTGTAATTGAAATAACATTCTCTGCAAGAGGTTTCTCTGGTCGCATTTGTCAAAAAAATGGGAAATTTCATGTAAAAAGACGAGCAAAAGATTATTGGTTTGCCAGTAATTTTAGAGAAAGTGATAGCGAGAGTACAAATAACAGAAACGAACTACAAAAGTTACGAATATAAAAACTCTTTTTGAAATTTCAACAATAATACTTTGAACTCAATTTCTTGAAAATGGTATTTCAAGAAACATATGATAACATGGAATGGCAACTTCCATGTTCCATGAAAAAGTACCAAACTCTTCTTGCTGAACTTGTAGTAAGACCACCTTTAGTTTCGGGGTATTGGCTTTTTACCAGTCCCCTGTAGAATATACCAAAGCAGTGACAGAATCGTCCGGTGTCTGTTGTATTTCATACAACGTCTCCATCTTTGAACAGAACCCCAAATTCTCAATAAGAACCCTGTTAAGCTAGCAGAACCACTTTGAAGTTTCATATTTATTTTTAGGCCATAATTTAAACTTGTACTCTATTCCAAAATTTTTTGCTCTACATTAAATGGAGATTTCATGGGCTAGCAGAACTCAACCACAGAAAAACAGTTTCTAAGATTAGAGTACGTCATAATTTTTGGCTCCTATTGTCGATTTTCTAAGCGTTGTTTCTTTATTCTGTGGGTTCTGCTAGCTTTGAAGTAAATTCGGTATCTTTAGAGTAGAGAGGGTGTAGTGTAGACCCACAGCACTTAGGCCACATGTGACCCATTGTACATCCTCCCGAGCAGTTGTCCTCCTAGGTCTTCGTCCATCCTGTCCTTTTCAGGAAGGTGGACAGGTCACTAGGAGACATCTCCTTCATATTGGCAGGTGTAGGCCAAGACTCGCCGAACACACACTCTCTTTGGCAACCTTGAGGTGTCTCACGGTGGCCTCCGCGAAGGTTTTGGAAGGTGCAGCGACATTACTGTCGTTGCGCGGCTTCTTCAACCTTCTTGGGGTTCTCTCCGTGGAGGTCCACAAGTGAGGAAGCTTTCCTGCAGGGGCAGCCAATTCCTTGCCTTTATTCAAGGCGGAGCTCTTGGCGCCCGCCGTAGGAAGTGTCCTTGCTGTTGGAGGTGGAGCGGGGGAGGAGGAGGAGGAGGGTGCACTTATAGTTGCTGCCACTCCTACCTCTTTCGCTCTCTTTCTCCTCTTGGCCTCGGTGAAGTAAATTATTGCAAGGTAAAATTTTTCAAAAAGCGAAAGAATTATATTAACGTTGAGCTAGCAGAACCCAGTTAGCTTACGAAGCTAGCTAGAACCCAGCTAACGAAGAGCTAGCTAGCTAGCTCTTCGTTAAATGAAGAGCACAAAATCCTGGAAAAGAGTACGAAATTAGCCTGAAAGTATGGCCTACAAATAAATTAAAAAATTGAAAGTGGTTCTGTGGGTTTAACAGGGGTCCCAGTAAGTGGAGATTCGACATTGGTCAATAACTACGTCATCTATACTATAATTCCAAAATAGTAGGCTCTTAATTCTCAGAAATGACTGACGTTTTTTGTCTTAGTCTGTCTCTTGTAGTGCTTACAGAGATTATACTACCTGAAGTTCTCAAACTTATTTTGTCTACCGCCCACTTCCAATATTATTTAATTTCTAGCGCCCCCAAATTATTTTACTTTACTACGTCTTAAGAATCACAATCGCAGTTATTATTTTAATACTTAAATTATGTGTGTCATGTGAAAATGAAACTTTCTGATGAGGGTAATGTAAAACACCATTTTGTAATATTAGGAAAACTTTTATTCATGTTATATTAAAACAAACATTTCAATTTGAATTTTAAAACTAATCTAATATGAAGGATGAATTTGATGATTTTTATCATGTTTGTTAATATCAGGATCGAATTTACTCAAAAATAGCCGTAAGTCATCGCATTCGGTAATTGCAACGTTGCCACAGCACTAAATCCATGTTCACTCAAATACGATGATGGGAATGCTATCAAAAATCGTTGAACGATGGACCACAATCCAGAGTACAATTGCGGGATTGGCTTTTGTAGCCAAAATTCTTGGTATACATTTTTTAATTTTATTTTTATTTCCTCGTTTGTTATCAGTTCCTTGAGTTCTTCTTCCAGCTGGGGTGATCCTGCTGTGTTGACATTTGAAAAAGGATCCAACACCCAGTCCGGTATTTCCAATTTTAAAATGTCCTGGAATCGTAAGAGCAATTCGGCTACAAAAGCAACAGTGACATTTTTTGTTTTAATTGAATTCAAGTCGTCACCTTGAAGTTGGAGATTGATATCATTGAATAATTTATACAGGTCTGTCAAGTACGCAATATCATTCTTTGAAGTGATGAGGTTGTCGTGCAATTCTTGAGGAGTGTTGAGAATAT